AAAAAAAAAAAAAAAAAAAAAAAAAAAAAAAAAGACTTGCTCTGAGTAAGTCATTCCCCCATGAAAGGGGAGGGAGAAATGAAAATGTGGATTCATTCAAGAACCAAATTCCAGAACAGCAAGTGTGGCTTTTGAGTTATACAAAGGAAGCCTCCTTTGCTACAGGGAACATCGACCTTGCCATCCAGCTAAATACATCCTGAGGTGAGGCAACCAAAGTCAGAAAGACCTTACAAATTATGGGATGAAGAGGCAGAACCTCAAAGGGAAGGCAATATATTAGAGAGATTGAGACCATGGATGTGTTTTGGCATCAGCCTACCTGGAATTTGAATCGTGACTGTGGAACCCTGGGCATGTTAATCTTTCTGTGCCTTAATGTCCTCATCTGTAAAATGGGGATAATTAACAGTGCCTATCTCGTAGAGTTGTAGTAAGAATGAAATGAAGTAACCTAGGTAAAACACTTAGCTTGGTACTCCAAATATTTCGAGCACTCAATGTTTGAAAAATAAAAGGTGGTGGACTTGAAAAAATTTAAGATGGTGGCAGTACAGACTCACCCTTAGTGCCACTGCCAGAGACAGAAACTGATGCTAAGCTGGAGCTGCTGCCAGTCTCCTCAGGAGGCTGACAGAGGTCTGAGGTGTGAGTTGAACATGCAGGGAGATTCAGGATGCCTAGGACGGTGGGGTTAACTGGATAACCCTCCTGTCTGAAAGGTGGGGATATCCTACTCTTTTAAACATTGCAACATTCAATGAGTCTGTTTTGGGACATTTTTTTACTGCCAACCTAAGTGCCAAACAGCCTGAGTTGTTGAACGAATCAAAGTGAATGAAAATCAATGTTGGTAGGAAAATTAGATTGACTTTATTGGAAACACTCTCGAGATATGCAATATTAAGGTGGAATCCCCATTTTCAGGAGAAAAAAAATGTTGTTCCTCCTCCTGAAGTTCTATAAGTGTAAGGAAAGGTGCTGAAGTGAGAGCAGTGGAGGTGTATATGGTGGGCCTGAGGTGAGTGGTCAAACACTGAAAAAAGAGAGATTTATTTCCTCTGATGCTGAAAGCAGAACCTCTTCCAAAACCCAGTATCCCAAATCAGAAAGTCCTGTCTGCTTAAAAAGAAATTGTTACTGGAACTAGGAACAAAGAGATTTCTAAAACCCATGCAAAAGAGCCCAAATAAATTATATACCACATGGTGAAATAAACGTTAACATCAGGGCTGGCCAGTTAGCTGGTGTTTGTGAGGTGCTGAAATACCAAGGTCCACGGTTTGATCCCCGCACTGGCCAGCTGCCACACCCCGAACCCCCCCAAAAAGTTAACATCCATTGGAGGTGGAGGTGGGAAGAGATTGCCAATTACATTACCTTAGAAAAGTGCATAGAAAAATGACAAAAAGTTCTTCCTGAGCATGATGAGCCACTTCCTTGAGAGGCTCCCATGGCCCTACCAGCCTAGTCCTGTAGTTTATTTTTTATTTTCATTTTTTTAAAAAGATGACCAGTAAGGGGATCTTAACCCTTGATTTGGTGTTGTCAGCACCACACCCTCCCATCCTATATAACCGGCCATCCCTATATAGGGATCCGAACCTGTGGCCTTGGTGTTATCAGCACCACACTCTCCCAAGTGAGCCACGGGCTGGCCTAGTCCTATAGTTTAGAAGTATCCCAAGTCTGAGATGTTACCCCTGCAGCTCTGCAGTAGGACCTGACCTCATGGCCTCTTGATCTCTAAACTAACCACCGGGCATATAATCATAGTCCCATTTGGAGTCTTTAAAAGATTAAGCCCCACAGGACAGTTAGGGAGGGGCCTGACTCCTGGCTTTTCATTCCCTTATATGTAGAGCAAATCATGGCTAGATTTTCTACCACAAGCTCCTATATTTGAGAGCCTTCCTCTCAGACACGGACCTAGGCATTTATCTGATCCCACCTTGAGGAGAGAGGAGAATATGGTTTCTCATTCAGGAAGCACCTACCTGTCTTCTGTGTGCTCCCAAAATCAGAGGTACTGAAGAACTCAGGGAAAACTGAAGTTTCTTAGGCACCCCACCCACTTCTCCAGAAGTGTGGCACCTTCAGCTTTAATTTTTCATAAAGCAAAGTTTCTGTGTTATTTTTATTGGAGTTGGTGGTTGTCAGATATGGAAGCTAGTCCAATCCTGCTGTCCTTTACAAAGAAGGGCCATTTTAGCAAGAAAATAACAAAACAATAATCACAATAAACTCTCTTGGGATTCACCCAGGGAAGCCTGGAACTGTAATACTGTGAACTTGAGATATTCTATGGCCACGCATCAGTTTTCAGAATATAACCATTGTCATATATACTTAAATAACATTGAAAGATTTTCTATAGTGTGATTTTTGCCAGGAACCTTAGAGAACTACTTATTCCAAACCTTCCTCATCCAGCCTGAAGGTAAGTGAAACCATCAAAGAAGATAAAATGAAAAGAAAAAGCCACAGATACAATGCCAAACTACACTTCCAAAGGTCGAAGAAATATCATACACCTGAGGCTCGAGTCTTTTGCTGGTTTTTGAGTTAGAGGTCGAAACTTGGTGGTTCTCTTTGGTCAGATAATCTACTGTTCTAGGGGAAGGCCCCATTGAAACTATTCTGAAGGATCACTCTTGTGCCATGTTTTTATTGGTAACTTCATTCACTGTCAGCCATTCCACTCATGAGAAAAACAGTTTTGAAAGGGATCTTATTTTAAAACACATCTCTATTTTCTACAGAGGATTCTCTTCATCTTTCGTCATTGGCTCTTTCGTAACCCTTCCACTACCCCAAACCAAATTCAAATTTAAAACGATAGAAAACAAAAAACCTTCCATGAGAAAGGAACATGATCTATAGAACAAGCTTTTCCTTCTCTTTAATGTGATGGCTAGGTTAACCATCACACCACAGAGAATTTTGAAAACTGACCCAAAAAGTCAGACAGGGAGACCATTCACATAAATTTTTTAAAAAAGAATATTTTTAGTTTAAAATAGAAAATATTGTTTTCCAGTGTAAGAGATCACACTTAATGCTTGCAGCCAATTAATGATCATAGGTAAGAGGATAGTATATCTGCTAATGAGTCCTAAAAATGGTTTCCATCTATCAAAAAAAAAAAAAGAATCCAAGAACAACCAGACCCTTCCCCCCCAGAAGCACTGAAACAAAAGACTGATCTGTTTATATAGTCACATGAAAAATAAACATCTTTATTTTTTTGCCTACTTTATTTCATTTTTTCAAATAAAATTTAAATCTGTACAAAGTATACTGTTACAGTATATATTTTGTAAGAATCAATGCCTAAAAGAATCACAATACTTCAATAAGCAGTACAGCAGACCTCGCTAGTTTCAGCTTTGATATTGAACAAACTCAAGCCGGCTGATGCACAACACGTTTGCTTGGTTTCCACATGGTGATTTCCCAGCACTGAGATGGGAGAATATGACAGCAAATATGGTTATATTACAGCCCGACACACTGCGCTTCTTCAGGTGATAATAACTGCACATATTTAATACAGAATGCTCAAATTTACTTTTTGAATTGCATTTGCTTACTTCTTAGTTGGCAAAATTCAGCATTCTTAAATGGGGTCCCCAAACAGTGCAAATTAATGATAATCTACTGTATATTGGCACGTCTCCAATAAGGATTAACTTGTAAACTCAAAGAATATCAACAACTTAGTCTTAAATTTTAACTAATATACATCTGGCCCATTTAACCAAAGTCACTTTGGAAAGATGTTAAAGAACAATTCTATTTCTGAAAGGAAATTGTTTTGACCATTCTTTAGAGAAGATAATTTTTCAAATTGTCATTAAAATGTTTTACTATAAAAATTTTACAAACTTGATTATAAATTTCAGGATTATGATTCACAGCAGACAAATACAAACTGTCTATATTCCAATACTACTCTTAAGACTTTCAAACAGAGCACAACCATGTCAGCTGTGTTAACTAAAATTCTGAACAGTGAACTAAATTTATAAGTGGTGCTGGGTCTAGCAAGGGTAAATACACAGTATATTTCAATGAAAAGAATTGTCTTCTTTATACTTTATTTGTTTTCCCATAAGGAAACATTAATGTTTACATTCTTTAATAAAGTTAATCTTACATCAGAATATAACTTAATACTGTCAGCAACAGGGACCACACACAGTAAATAAAAAGCACATTTAAAATAAGTCTGAATTCACATAGATTAACATTTGTTGGTTAATAAAATATCGACAGTATTACAATCTTACAATATTTACAGTAAGAAAAATCTAGAGTAATATATACCTTTCACAGCAGGATTTCTTTTTTTAAAATTTCTTCCAGTTTGGGATTGTGTATACACAAAAGCTCAAAATAAAGCTACTCTGCAATATAATCTTAAAATAATGGCTACTAGGGGGAAATTCTATCACAACCATTGAAAATAATGGTGACTTCTCACGGAGTCTGTGGCATCTGAGAACCCAGTTAATTAACCGAAGTCTTGCTCAAACCAGCCTCAGTTACCCAGATTAAAGCAGAACTCCGGCCTTCCCTGACTGCTGAAAACCCAACAGACTTTCTCAACATGCTATAAGAAAAGAGGGAAAATTGGTTTCAGCTCACACCTCATGGCTGGAACCTCCGTCCAGTGCACATTCCCCAAATTATGCTTAATGAGGGCCAATTTCATCCCCCCAGCATCACAAGAGTCCATCTTCCAATCACAGTGCACTCTGACACAAAGCTCACCCATTTCTCAACTCTTGTGCATTAGGATAAGACATGAACTTGGCCCATATAATACACACCAGCATCTTAGAGACTTGGGACCAGGCAAAGAAACCAACTAGTAATAGTTTGCACTGCGATCAATAAGAAAATGGGAAGTGATGCACATTTCCAATTAGAATGACAAGAAGACCCACATCCCTAAACTGGAATTTGGCCAGGGCATCAGAGTTAGCACCCCCTCTCTGAGTACCACAAGCTATTAGGATGTGTGCTCTGGGCCTCCTCTAAGAAAGAGCATCTACGGTAAGTAACACAGTGTGGGACATTAGTTCAATGATGACTCCTAAGAAAGCAGATACAATTCTTGAATCTGGGGCTGTCTATGGTACCTGAGGTCAATCAATCATCCGAGCTGTAACCTGTCCCAACCCTGCTTACTTTATCTGATGGGCACAGAGCACTCAGGGACATGGCTGCTGGCTACTTTGGACTCTAGATCTCACAGGTAATCAACAGGTATCTGGGATTGAATTAGCAAACTGTACCATAGCTCCTTAAACAGACACTGTCAGGTTTGAAATCATGTCAAGCACGAATCTTCACTGTCAGGTCAGAAATCAAAGTGGGAGTCTTCCCACATCAAGCCAAAGTTATTTTGTCAAAACCTTAGAGGAGTTGGACAGTTTTTCATGTTACAAGTGATTAGTTTACTTATTTCAGTCAAGCTGGATTGGCAAACCAGACTGATATATTTAGTTGGCTTTGTTTTTTTGATTCTTATGTATGTGCTAACCCAAAGCTATTGTATTTGGGCTAAATACACTGACAGAGAAAATTCAGGCAACAAAAGTTTTCAGCAAACTTCTGTGGCATTTTCTTTTTGGAAGTCAATGCAAGATCTAAAGGTATTTCTACCCAACAAAGTCTGTTTAAGTGTTTAATGTTACTTCCTTTTTGGTCCTATACAGAATGCTATGACTTCTATATAGGTCTGAATGCTGCTCCATGTAGATTCCTTCTGTATATCTAAAAATATATACTTTTCAGTAGTTCAGTACATGGTTAATCTTCCCACAGAGGAAGATTTTTTTTTGTAATCACATGTTGCAAAGTAGAAAAACATCTCCTTTCTAAGAAAGGAAATATACTTTCCTATTGTACACTTTTGAATAAAGCCCAAAGGCATGCACCAAAAATCATTATTAAAACTAATACATGCACTAAAATGGTGTAGAGTTAAAGTGCTGCTTCTCAATTTTTTAATTTGAAGAAGACATTTTGTCAGTTGTTGACTCAGACATCTCTCCCCCCACCCCAACCCGCCTCATGGCATCAAGAGAGAAAAGCAGAAAGTATGCACAAATTTTTAAACTATTCTTTACATGGGGGAAAGAATAGATATATCAACTATACTATTTATAAACTGGATTCCCAGTTTTAAATAAAACCAATATTTACTGGTAAAACTTGTCAAAGCTAATACACCCAAACAAATGTTACTAGTAAATAATGTTCTACATAGAGAATAATTTACTTTGGTTTTATGCACCTTCTCAAAAATAATTCTAGTGTCCCATATATCACCAAACTGATGTGTTCCAGCAAAGGTGTAAGGCAAATCTTTTTTTTCCCTAGTGACATCTTGTTTCCCAATAGACAAAACTAAAATCTTTTGGTGAGAAAGGGGTTAAGATAATGGCTAACCCCTTGGCATCCTGAGCATTGTGGTTTATCAGACTCTACCCTGCTAGAAGTTGTCAGGCATCCTGACCCCTGCCTTGAACCAGGAATGGCTCCCACATCTAGAGATGCCCTGACTCCTTATAAATAGCTCTCAGAACTTTGCTTCTTTTTCCCTTCTGTCTGGATGTTATAATGTCTAACAAAGTTCGTTGCAGTGTCACATTTTGCTAGTAGGGGCCGCCATCTTACAATAATTCCAATCTGTGATGTTTTAAACTAATACTTAGTTCTTGATTTTATCAATTACTTGCATTAAAACTCTTTCTAGAATTTATTTAGAGCAGAGATCCTTAACTTGGGTTTCAGAAGATGTGTGATGCCCTTGAGGTTGTATGCAAAATTATCTGTATATGTGCATTTTTTTTTCCTGGGGAGAGGGTTCATCACTTTCATCAGGTTATCAAAGGTATATGTGATCCCAAAAAAGGGTTACAGGGACTTAGAGGGATACCCGTAATTCATTTTATACCAGGATTGGGAAATGGGGGCATTAAACTAAAAATGGCCTCAAAAAAAAAAAAAGAAAGAAAGAAAAGAAAAGAAAAAAGAAAGAAAAGAAAAAGAAGGGCCCAATTGCTGGTCTTTTCTCTTTATTCACATTTGGGAAATAAGTGCTTCAAAATGGGAAAAATAATTAAGCTGGTTAAACTCCATTAGAAAAAAATCAAAACCACTAAAATTGTTTCATTTTCCATATGTGGTAAATTTAGTTTCCAAGAAAAGGTTTGGAAACTAAATTTCTCTCTTTTCCTAAAGGAAATTCATAGATAAAATGCTGAACATCATCCACATTTAAAGATGTGACAACATAAAACTTAGATAACTCATGCTATGAGCCTTTAACTTATGAGTTTGAGTAAAGGATTATCTAGAGTCAAATATACATTTGTTAACCTTCATTTCCCAAAATTGGTCCATATTTAGACAACTACCTGGCACAATTCCATGAGATAAACCTAAAATCTGAACAACGGAAGTTAAACTTTCTATCCAAATTAAAAACAAAGCCACAAGGTTCCACAATAGAATTTGGCCACAAACATTCACACTACAACATAGAGGACTTTCTCATTTCGAATACATCACTAAATTTTCAGCAGAATTTGCAAACATAAGATCCAGAATGACTAGCAAAACATGCTGAGAAGAGCATGTCAAGAATTAAACCACCAACACCACCCCCATTCAGAAACACACTCAGACATTCCAAAAATAAACCAGATCTGAAAAGAGGCCTCTCACTTGTTGGTTTTAAGTATGAAGTGCATAAAAAGCTTTGAAAAGGGGGATATAAGATAAAATTATTAAATAATTCTAAAAAATAATTTTAGTCAAAAACACATCTCTGTTTTATTGACAAAACTGTCAATTTTTTTTTTTTTTGCAATTCTGAACACCAATTGTGTTGCATAATCTAAGACAAAAAATATGTTCACAGGTACACTTTTTGTTTTTATTTTTTTTAGAGCACATCTTTGAGGTTATAAGACTGCCTCTGGTTAAAATAAAGTCTCTTACCCCTTGCTGCCCTCCCATCTCAAAAAGTGAGTCAACTCTGAATTCCAAAAAGGAATATTCATTCAATATTATTATTCCAATACCACTTATATCACATAGACCATGAGGAAACTATATGAACATTATGGAAAAATGCATGAAAGAGGGAGCTGCCATTTGCCACCCACTTCACTTCCAGCTTTTTGAGCATGTATCCAGTTAGACTCAGATCTCACTGACTTCAGTGAAAACAGATCAACACTCCAAAACCAGGCCATCTCAAGCTGGAAGTTGAATCTCAAAGACATCATTTAATACACACACACACACACACACACACACACACACAAACATTTTCTATCCTAAGCTTTCACTTTGTCTATTTAAACAGTTTAATAAAGCTCACATTTACAAAGGATTTTATTGGCAAATAAAAGCCCATATTAAAAATCTTATCAAAACAAATTTTTGTTTTACATAGCTAACACTAAGAAATATTTTCTTGGTCTTATAAAGCATATTTAATTGCATATAAGTTTTGCTTTGGGTGGGATATTGAAAACATAATTCTGCAAGAAATTAGAAAAGACTAGAAACAAAAGTGAAAGTGACTAGTCTTAACTTTCAAAAAATCAAGTGCAAAGATAAATAGTGCAAATAATGAAAATTAGAAATTTTATAGGCAACTTTACATAGTCTTTCCTGCTTTTTCACTTTTACATATTGACAACTTTGTAAACTCTAACAACTGTATGCAGCATAGAAACGGGCTATCATTTATCTCCACTGACTAGACTCAAGGAAGCCTTTCAATGACTTGTCTCACAATCATTTAAATCACTGGTTTTTAACACAGGTTTGAGAATTCACTTCTTTTTAAATTATTCCTAAGGGAGGGGTTATTTAAGAAGGCTCTGCACTGACTTAAACAAGTTATAGTATCTGACAACACAGTAAAACGTGAAGATTATACTAAGTGCCAACTCTACAGAATAAGGTATACTATAAATAATACTGCTATTACTAATGAACTTGATATTTATATGAAATAAAAATTATCTTCCAAGTTCAAAATCAGAACCTCTTTTTTTTTTGGCTATTTTAAAAGAGATTTTATCACTGATGTGTAGAGATTTGAGTAAAATGAAGCTTGAAAGAAATCTGTCAAAATCACTGGGAATAAATCCATACTAAATTTGACAACAAAGAGTTAATCCAAATATACTGAATTATGTTACTTAAAAAACAAATATTATATCAATTCCTTATCTTAAATAATTTAAAACACTACTGGGAGAATGAGAACATAAATCCAAACACTATCAGCTCACCTGACAAAAGACACAAGAATCTCCAACTTGTACTAACTTATATTATTAACATTTTCCACCACTGAATTCTTGGGAATTCTACAATTTTAAAGCAAGTGAGAAAGTGGGAAAACAAACAGAAATATGAGTTTAGGGGGTATGTTGTCTAATTTCAGAAATATAGTATTATTGATGTCTCATTAGGTACCCAATGTGAAACAGTTGCTAAGATTGCAACTATAAAAGAAACAGAAAAGATATTTAGTTTCAATGTAGTGTTTCTACCAGGTTTATGGTCGTCTTCTAAGAAATTTATGTGGACCAAAGGCTTAAAGTTCTGTAAAAGTAAGGAATAATATGGATCTTTGTGGACTACAAAATCAAATAATTTGATCTAAGGACCATTCTTAAAAGTAAAGGAAAACTACACAGTAACGAGAACCCAAGACAACAGATAGTCTGTATGATAAGTATTTCTGATACTTTAGAAATAACTGAAAAAAAGTTTGAAATTTTCTTTTCTTCTTCTCAAAATAAGTCCCCAGCACCAACTTGCCTTGACCAGAAAGCTGCCATTCCACAATTGTGCTACTTAATTTGTCCCAGAGAAGCAAACACTCTACACATGAAAAGATTTGTATAATATATCATCATCATCATCATCATAAGTCTAGCTACAGACCAACAGTTTTCTCATAACCGAGGGACCCATTTTCTCTGGCTTTATTGAAAGAAACTTCCTTAGTGAAAATCAACTTCATTGTCCTTAGCAAACAACTCTCATTCAGACTCCATCTTAGTAACTTTTTCTACCTCCAATAAAAATTCCTCCCACTTTACCTCCAAACCACTCCCTTATATACCTCACACCCCCATTTACAAACACATTAAACAGCTCTCCCCTTTCTGCTCTCAAATTTCCAAATCTGTAAGTCTTAGTTCCCAGAAACTTACCCAAAATACACATACTTCTTACTCTCTTCAATCACAAATGTCTTAACATTAATTTAGATGCCCTTCAAACTGCCAACTTAAGACTATGGGGAAAACAGCAGTCAAAAAAACTGCCCAATTACCTCATAATACAGAAATCTTTTGGATCATCAGTTAGCTATGTTCTAAGGCAGGAGTGAGCAATCTCTTCTCTCTGAAGTGGGTAAGCTTGAGTGCCACTGGCAGGCCTATGACAAGAACAACAAAGAAGGAAAGGAGAGAGAAACAAGGAAAAAAAGGATAGGAAAGAGAAGGTGCCAGATGTATACAGGTAGAAGGTAGGTCAAGTGCCAACAACAACTACCTGCACTGGAAATTGCCAATCCACTCGAGGTGAATGAGAGTTTGATCCAACCTCAACATGTGTCTGAATAAGTCATTAGCTGATAGCCATCACCGTTTGAGCCAGTAAGGGTGAATAGGTAAGTCACCTGTCCCATAACTTTTAACTGTCACTTCATGATAAGGACATCTTTTCTTAAATCTTCCTAGGATCCTTCTGTGCTAATCCATCTTAGACCAAAACACATACTAACAAGAGTATTTCCATATTTTTCACAATTTGAGAATATAAGGGCTTGGTCCTTGAACTTGGAGGCCTCTTGAATTATTAAAATGAACCCCAAATCAAGAAAATTAAACTCTTTAGCTTAAAATTTTTTCCTGCAAAATGCTACAAAATTTAATTTGTAAGCAAATCACAAATAACCATCAAAACAAAGTATGTATTCATGAAAATGCAAAAACCTTGCAAATACCAAATGAGTAAAATACTTCTGGTCTGTAAGAAGCAACTTTATTCTACATAGAGGATCACCACCATGTTTCTACCTGTGTCGACGAGACAATTTTCCACAAAAGCAAAGGACGTCAGAAAGAAAAAAAAAAAAAAAAGAAAGAAAAAAAAAAAAAAAGAAAGAAAAAAAAAAAAAAAGAAAGAAAAAAAAAAAAAAAGAAAGAAAAAAAAAAAAAAAGAAAGAAAAAAAAAAAAAAAGAAAGAAAAAAAAAAAAAAAGAAAGAAAAAAAAAAAAAAAGAAAGAAAAAAAAAAAAAAAGAAAGAAAAAAAAAAAAAAAGAAAGAAAACAATAAATACCAAATGTAATATGGGGACAAAATGAAAATGAATGAGCTGCTATAAAATTCTTAAGAAAAACGTTTTAACAAATTACCTTTGCCATACTCAACTTTCCTAAAGACGTAAATTGCCTAGACCATTCAACATCAAAACTTGGTAGTCAATTTAGCAGATGAAAGCTGACAAACTGCAGGCTTGGAACCAATCATATTTTTCACTTTTCATCTGGTTGTTCTTACATCATGAAATTCTACTTGACTCATGCTAATGCTAGCTTAGATTATCTTCACTTAATCCATAGTAATGAAATTTCTGTTCAAAAAAGAGTCTGTCAAATGGCCTAGGCCTTAAATTTAGGTTTTGTTTAACTTCTCAAATATTAAAATCAGCTTTTCTTAAAAGCATATTGCCAATTCTGCAAAGAAGACTCTATAGTAATTAATGCTGCTAGGTGAAAACAATAATTTTAACAGCAGTGATCACTTTAGTTTTATATAATACTTCATTATGAATGGTCTAAATTTGGTTAACATGCAATGAAGAAAACAGAAATATTGTAATGTATGATTCAAAAATTGATAAACTTTGACAACTTTGCACAAATAACTTTGGTGAACTTATTTGCTTAAGCAATTCCAATAAATTCTCCTATTTATTCACTCTCATGGAGAAGTATACAAGTATATATATCTCCCAATTATTAAGATATTCAAATTTAAGGATAACCAACTATGTTATACTCAGAGTTATCACCAACTGTTCCAAACCTGTTGCTAAAAATGCCCTTGTTTTAGCACCCCTTTACATAGAAAGCAAGATCTCATTCTGATATTCAAAAACTTTGAAAATGGGGGGGAAAAAGTCATTAGATTTGGTATCTCACTTTTTATGGGGAAGAAAATCTTAGAAGTATTTTCACATATAAAATAAAATGAATTTAAGCTATGAAAGCTACCAGAGCAACAATTTCAGAAAGCCCCATTCTAAAATCATCTGGCAATGTGTTAGTGTGTGCAACATGAAAAAATGAGTGGGAATATTGGATGAATGATATGTGGGAGATAAAAATAATCATGCCCATAGTGGGGTCATCATGGTTGGGAGGTAACCCAAAATAAAAGAAAAATGTGTTATTTTGGAAAGTTTCAACAGTGCCAAAACACAAAATGTTAAAGCACAGAAATAAAAATGAATGAGATAATCCCCCCAAACATCAATTTCCATAAGAAAACAGGAAGAAAAAAGTTGATATAGCATTTTTTTAAACATACCAAATCTTAATTGACTTAAAGATGATATAATGTGCTTGGGCCATGATAACCACCCAGATTATCGTTATCAATAGATTTATCTTTTCCCTCCCTTCCACCCAAATTTAGTTCAGTTTTTCTGCAGAAAAAGTACAGCATCCCTATATTAATAAGAAATGAAAACAGTGAGTACAACTGATATAGATCCATTGACTTTTATTACAAATGTACTTGATCACTTGGCTTCAAAAGTTTAAAATCAATACCCTATTTTCTGTATGCCAGTACAAAGCAAACTTTTACAAATTAAATACCTAAAAATTTGACAAAAATATTAAAATTTGATGAAAAACAATTATAAAAATCCTTAATCTCTCTCTTCAAAAAGGAGGCAGTCTTCCCAATCCTATTATACAATATTAATAATATTCACCATTTTTAGAATAGGTAGCTAAATTATACTTCTCTGTTATCATACAAAACTCTTATACTAATAGATTTCATTTGTATATGCTCCAGTTAAGTTTATGAATGCCATCTGATTGCAATATAATCAACTATCTTTAATTGAATCCTAATTTACACTTATTTATTAATTTGCATAGTTTGAAAGGGATAAAGGTTATTCTACGACTAATTACCATAGGCTATTACAGCGCTATTTTTCAAGGCAATAAGTATTTGCTCCCAAATGAAATTATCTGTCTTCTTTAGGCAGGGGTTAAAATTACTAGCAGCTTTCTCCATTACCTGAAAAATCAAATTGGAATAGTTATCTATCTCTAGACATGAAGGCCTAAAAAAAAATATTGATATACTTTCCATCTTGATTCAGATTTCAACCCCTGCATGGGACAACTAAAAAGTGAGACTTTCAAGGTTTTTTATTTCCCTGTCAATTTTGGTTTTTACTCTCCATGGCTTTTGAGAAGCTGGAAAACAGTTTGTCTTTCCTGACTAGCGTTGTCTTTTCTCCATTTGGCAAATATTCATCTACCTCCAATCTGTATCTAGTAGAGGAAAAGCCGACATGGCTTTTCTTATGAACTTCCTTTGTTGTCAAAGGCATGTATAATGATTCCTACAGTTCTGGTTAGTTAACTTTAGCTCCCTCTGTGGCTGGATGACTGCTGCTTCTAACATCAGCATGATAAATAGGAGGCACAAATAAAAAGTAGCTTTAAAAAATTTGGTGATTTTAAAAGAAAAATAACACCAAACACACACACACACACACACACACACACACACACACACACACACACACAGAGGAGCATTTCAAATCTGGTGGCTGATCTCTGGATTAAATTACTTGACAATGTCTCTCATTTTAAACCGTTAATATTGCAATGCATTTCAAGTTTTCTTTTATACTTAGGCAAATAATATAGTTTAACCAAGCTCTTGGACCTTAATTGTAAGACAAAGCAGATCAATAAAAATAAGGCATACATGTCAGGAATTAAGTTTTGTTTTCTTGGTTTTGGCACATTTGATCATACTGTCTTCTATGAATAACACATATGGTCAAATATACCATTTCCTTTTTCATTTCAGCACAAACAGGGCTTACCAACTAGTAAAATAAAAATAAGGAAAAACTCTAACATAAAACACTGAGATATAGAACCTTGGTAAAGTACCGAGCACCTGGGAAGTGGGGATGGGGGGTGGAGAGTAGAGGAAGGATGAAACAGGAGAGGGCAGAAGGGAAGGTTGGGAGGGTGCTTGGGGAGGTAAAGTGAGATGCTTAAAAAGGAGCATCTTTTACAGTCACTTAGTCTTTTCTATGATCACTTCTTAAGTCTTAAAAGATCTGCATGTGGATTTTTTAAATCCACTGACACTGGTTTCAAAATTTGAGTAAGATTGTGTTCAACTGTTATAGTGTAGAGACAATTGCACAATACATGTGCTTCTTGATCCGGTAGGATTCCAAGCAGAATCTGAAGTCTATAGGTAAGAAAGGCTTCACTTTAGGTAACTGACCTAAAGAAAACCTCATAAAAGAACTCACATCTCAAAGAAAGGACACTTTGCCTAAGTTTGTTGTGTTTTTGTTGACTTGCACTACTTATTGCTGGCTACTATTAAACACTGATCTAGGAGTACTCCAACAACCTGTAGTACAAGACTTAATTTTAAGAAGCTATAGTAAACAAGAGACAAAATCAAAGCAATTCTCTTTCCTAATTAGTAATAGCACAGAGAATGCAGTCTTTTCCGTATCACAGTTAAAGTACAGTGAACAAAACAGCTCAACAAACCTTAAGACAAAAAAGTGCAGGTTATTAATGTTTACATGCAGTTGATAAGCATTCCAAATGTCACATTATGCACTGTAAAAGCTCAACTTTACTATATGGAAATAAGAAAAATGCACCTGGGGGAAGGGGAAAGCAATTTAATCATTTCCAGTGATTTTGTAAGTAAAGAAACTCCTAACTATTGTACGGTCACCTCATATTTAACACTGTATGAATATTAAAAGCAAACAATTTAATGGGAAAATGCACAGTACAATGAAAATAGCTTGTTATTCAACACATACAGTAGTTCTTAAAAACAAAGACAACACACTCAACCAGGGAGCTTAAAAATGTCAAATCAAAACCCAAAGAACCAGCAGGAAAAAAAAATCCTTCAAAAAGACAACTGTTTTGCCTTCCTAGGCCAATGCTTTACAATGTGAGAAGCACTGATACCTTCCTGCTCCTACAGGTGGTGTCTTCTACATACAGCAGTTAGATCTATACGGCTGGATTTGCCAAGAAACAATTCCATCTCCAGAACTCTCTCTGTCAGACAAGACAAGATCCTTTTTTTTAAATTTTTTTTTTTTTTTACCAAAATACTTTCTACAGAATTCCAAACCAAAATGTACTGTTTAAGGCATCTTTTTTTTTTTATAACATTTTCTCTTCACTCAAAGATGATAGTCATGCAGCAGTTTAATGATAAAAATATATTAATATTTTACTATACAGCAGCAAGAAGTTAGTTGTCAATTAAAAGCACACAAACATCTTTAAATGAAAACCTGTGAAAGACTATCGTTACAAACAATTTCAGTTTGGAGGACACCAACTTGGAAAAGTGCTCTCCTAAGCTTTGCATTTTCATACCCTACACCTTGAATATATGAGTTATAGAACATACTTTTAATAGAAGGCTTGCACACTTGGGAAACACAAATATACTTAGCATATAATGTAGCCAGTAATAACTAGCACCACAGCTACATGGAAATCCTTTACATACACCAACTTGGCTTTCACTTTTAAAACGAAACTCAGAATCCATGGCTCAGTAGGATAACTATAATTGGGTTGCTCTGCTTTTTAACAGGTCTACATAAGTTAATAGCACTGGCAAAAATGAAATGATAGCTTCAGACCTCTTACAAGTTTAGGAGACAGTGCTAGTGACCACAAATAGACTCACTACCTGATGTCCAAGTACAGGTTCACTGGAAATTGCTGCACGTTAGTTTTTAAAATCTTTCTACACATAATAAAAAATATATATTATGAACAATACAAGTACATCTCATATACACAATAATGACAAAACGCCTACTCAAAGCAAACAGATGCAGAAAAATATTATGGGAGATTTCCTTTTTCTTTCTTTCTCTTTTTCCTTTTACTATTTGAATAACTTTGGTTCCAACCATAAAAATCACAACTTAGCAAATTTCATTTAAATGCCTTTTTTAATAATTTCTTCATGTTCACAGAAGTTTCACTGACCATTTTTTATATGTTTAAGGTCCAGATGCAATGCATATTGTATAAAAGAGAGCACTTATTGTTTACCTTGCATGAATTAAACCTACGTACCTTTAACTCTACAAACTTCTGCATAACATTTAGACAAAGCTCAGACACACAGCATGCCTAGCCCTCATATATATATACACATCTCTAATCACAGGTATATAGGGTGTCAAATATACTATAATAACCTCCATGTAAGGTTTGAAATTTGGTAACAAAATGAGAAAAACTAAAAATATTATTTTACGTGTTCTAAAATATCTCTTTTTTGTGCTAAAGTCAAATGTTAGCTCAACATGAAAAGGACTTTTATATAATTCAGCAATATTATAATCTTGACCATTTTGCAAACACTTTTAATAATAATAGCTTAAACGTGTACAAAAGTTCTTGGTTAATTAGGGAAATAAACACTCAGTTCTTTATATTTTTTAATCAAGTAGGAAACACAGTTCATATAATGTTATTACTTTTTGTAATTTTTTTTTTGTTTTTTGTTTTTAGCAGCTGCTTACTGTTTTATATGGTGGATAAAGTGGACAACATCCAGCGATGGGTGGCAAGTCAAGAAGAGAAACTGTCAGTTGGTGGAGGTTCTGTGGGTGGTGCTCCCTTGGAGTTAAGTTTTTTTTTTTTTTTTTTTTTAACTTTTTAACTTTTTATTTTCTCTCTTTCTTTACAGTATATTTTCTCTGTGTGGCTGTGTATGTGTGTGTAGTATGTGTGTGTATGCATGTGCGGGGGGGGGTTCCATTCAGTTTGATCAATCTTCTTCCCCCTCTTCCTCACCCTGCAGTAGCAGAGTCGCAGCGGCGGTCTCCTCCTGCTGCTGCTGCTGCTGCTGGTGGAGTTGCTCACAAGCAGCCCGCTTCTCCCTCTGCTTCTCTTGAATCTTCTTCATCTCCTCCGAGTACTTGCAGAAGGTATGTCCAAACTTGGCCCACACCTTGTAGGGCACGGTGATGGAGTTGCGGTAGGTGGGCTTCACCTCGCTCACTCGCATAAACACACCATACTTGTTGGAGCCCACGTCGAAAAAGAAGCGCTTGTTGTCCACAGTCAAGGAGGTGCCCTCGGGCAGCTCAGCCGGCTCCTCCTCCACTCCATAGTCGTCGATGAGCTTGGCCAGAGCGTCACGGAACTCGATGAGCCCCTGCGCGGGCAGCGCAATGGTCTGGCCCTGCGTGGAGCCCAGGCCGGGCCCCCGGTTGACCGTCTGGCGGATGCGCAGGAAGCGGCCACGCTGGTTCTCCTTGAGATCCATGTAGTACTTGCGGTTCTCGCGCACCAGGAACTCGCTCTTGAGCGCCCGGCGCGGCTCGTCCTGCGCCTGGGCCAGGTCGGGCGGCTGGCTGGGGCCCAGCTGCGCGTAGTGCTCGATGAAGTCGCCCAGGTAGTCGCGGAACTCCACGGCCACTGACATGGAGAGAGTGAGGCGGCTCTTGTTGCCTCCCGCGCCCACCTCAGCGATCTTCAAGAAGCGACCCTTGGCGGCCGCGCCGCCGCCGCCTGCCGCTCCGCCCGCCGCCTCAGTCGCCTCAGCCGCCGCTGCTTTCCCTCCCCGGCTCCGCCTGCTGCCGCCGCCGCAACCCCCACAGCCAGGCAGCCACTCTCGCGAGATCTGCGGGAGAGACGAGACAGACGAGACCCGGTAACAGGGCACTGACTCCCCAGTACAGTAGCAGGGCGCCCTACTGTACGCTCCCACCCGCCCGCCGGCACGTGACCTGTGCCCCCTCCGCAATGCTAGCCCCCCGCCCGCCCGCCAGGCGGCGCCCACCCGCCGACCCTCACCCTACACCCCTGGCTGGGGGGGAGGAGGGAGTGGGACGCACAGCGTCGCAGCTGCCGCCACCACCGCCACCACCGTGGCTGTCGCTGTTGGCCAGACCCTAGGCGGCCTTGGCCTGGCCCGGGGAGTTGGGGGACTAGGGTGAGAAGGGGACTGCCATACTAAGCACTGGGAACGGGCCTGAGCTCTGCTTTCCAGTGACCCCAAAGAGAGGATTAGGGGGAGGGGCCTGCTCAGTGCAGCAGAGCCCGCTGCAGAGAGGGGACACCGAGTCACGGCCACCCCCTCCCATTCGAGCCTCAGCCAGACCTAGACCCAAACCCAGACAGGCCTTCCCGCCACCCGACTGGGTTGTCTCCTACCGCAGAGCCCTGACCACAGAGGCAGGGGAGGAAAAGGAGAGGTAGTGCGGTGGTAACCCTTAGCTTCAGATGGGGCTCCTGGGGATGAGGACGGGGCGCCGGCAGCAGTGGCGTGGAGCAGTAGACACCTAGCCCGTCCCTCCCCTCTTCCTCTCCTCGGCTCCCGCCGCTCCCCCTCCCCGCGCACGGCAGCGGCTCTGGCCTCAGATGATCCCGCTTCCCCCTCCCCCCAACCGCAGCCCCGCACAGTCGGGCGGGCGGGCGCACTCACCGGTGGGGGGAGCCGAACGGAGGACGGTAGCAACACCAGGGCCCGAGTGCCCGCAGTGCCTATTCCCGCCGGCTCTGCCCTTCCCCCCAAACAACAATCAAAAAGAAACCCCACACTCACTCATAAACCTGCAACCGCCCCCCTGGGGACCACGTCTGCCTGCCTGCCTCTCCCTCCTCCTCCGGAGATTTGGGGGGGCGGGCACCCTGCTCAAGGCTGAGCCTAGCCTGGGTTGCCGGCCAGCTCTGCGGATGAACCAGGCCCGGCCGGCTGACCAGTCTGACCCTAGCCCACTCTTCTTTCTCTCTGAAAGGACCCAGAATGGAGGAGAAAACCACGCAGGCTTTCGGAAATTCATGAGCTAAAAATGTCAGGAATTTCCTGGGAAACGCAGTTCCTTACGGGCGGGATTCATTAAAGCAGGTTCGCTTGCCCCGTGTATGCTTCCTCCCAGAAACTCGTATGTGTCAAGGAGAGCCCTCACTCCTTACCCCTCAAGTAATACATGAAATGATCACTTGCTTTTATGCGAGCTAGGTTACTGACCATTAAATAACCCGAGTCTTTGTACAGTGATAACTAAAGGGGGTCTTCTCTGGTCTCGGAAAGGAGCTTAGGAATAAAGAGGGGCTTAGAAATAATTGATTTCTCTATTCCTAGATCTGATGCATAATCTAGGGCCTATTTTCCTTCGCCCAGATAGGTAGTGAAAGTTCATAATCCCTCACTGCAGTCTGCAGACCTGACAGCGGTGGGAAAGCTAAGGCCTTATCTCCAGGGGCCCCCCCCCCCCACCCGCCAATGGCCCTTCATTCTCCCCATCATCTTCTGCAGGGGGCTGGAAGGATACAGACCATGCAGTCCTACCCCTGGCTTTCTCAAGCATGGATTGCTATCTCCATACTAAGAAGAGTGTGCCTATTCCATCTGTGAGTTCCATTTCTATTGAACATCTCTCCCTCCCCCTCAAAAGTCAGGAGAGTTGCCTCCCTCACTCTTAGCCCCAGAGACAGCTGAGAACATGGTTGCCCAGCTTCCTGGAAGAGAGAAGGGTAAAGAGAGGATTAACAATCAAGAAACCAAGAGCAGTCTAGGGCATAAGCCTTGTCAGTGCCTGAGCCCTCAAAGCCCCCAATATATTCCTTCATCTCCTGGGCAAACCTGCCTGCTACGTATTCACAGCTTCCTTTTTCTGTTAGTACAAGTCCCATTCTACTCAGCATTAGTTACTTCAGCTCTGGGTTAAAGTTTGCTACTTCCCACTAAAGAGGATGAAAGAGGAAAGCACCATGGCCACCAAAGAGCAAACTGTGGCAGTCCTGTGAACCAGCCTTAGAACCACCCACCTATGTCCACTAGTCACTAAAATGGATACCCGAAGGGGAGGCCCACTCTGAGAGAAAGAAACTCAGGCTTTCAGCCCCATAAAGACCTTCTCCTTAATTTGGGGGCTACCTCTAAAACTGCCTAGGTCCCCTTCAATGCTGATTTTTCTGCACTCCCTCCCCTGTTCCCAAATCTGTTGGGAGAAGACACGGGAACTTTTGGAGCACTTCCCACTGCACAAAAAATATACATGTGAAGAAGCAGTGGCTCTTCCAGGCTTGCACGGTAGCGATCAGGACCCTGGATAGACCCCGGCCCTTTCAGGGATGCAGACTGAGTGGCAGGGTCTCTGCACAGAATGGGGTGGGGCGTTATGCTCTCACTTGTAAACTGAGGCAAAGATCTGGTGAAGTCCGATCGAGAAGGGCTGCTGCTCTTCCTCAAGGGTTTACCTTGTGCTGAACAACTGAGCCCCTGCCCCCCAACGAGAGGTAAGGCAGCAACAAGGACAATGAGATTGCGATGAGGGGGGCCTGCCTGCCGGTTCGTGCTGATGATTGCTGTCTCCCCGTAACACACCCCCCCACTCCCCGACAGAAGACTAGGGCTCCAAACTGCCCACCTTGCTGCCCAACTTTGGAGTCTAAATGTCTTGCTCTCCATCCCAAACATTTATGTCCAGGGGTTTCTGAAGTGGTTTGAGTTTGAGAGTGCCCTGATTTTCTGAAAAAGCGACTGTTACTAGGAACTGACTTCTTAGTTCCCCAGCGCAGAGGCAACTGATGAACTTCCTCAACAGAACACAAGTTAAATATCATTTGCACACTTAAACTGGGAATTTTAAGCTCAAATCAGCAAATGACTGAGACCCGGATCTCTCCACATAAATAGGTAGTTGTGATATGCTATTCACTACATATGCCTAAAATTTCTCCATTAAATTCCAGCTTCTCTCCTACTTTACGTATGTGTCTAAAAAGCAAATAAGATTAATAATGCCTTTTCCAACATAATTCAATGATAAATTGGATATTTAGCATATATCCTCTACTGAAACAAAAGAGTTAATTTCAGGATAAGCCTGTAGGTGTGGGCTTTTTTCTCAGAATAGGAGGTGAAAGACAGCTTTCCTTAGGCTATAGTGCACAGTAGCTTTAAAAGGCAGTCTGGGAGGAATGAATATTAAATTGCAGAAAAGTCTTAAAACAAAAAGTTTGAACTTTAGTTATATTTGAATTGCAACATTAAAAATCCATTAAAAATTTTGTGGATTTAAAAAGATTTCGGCGATTTCTTAATTACCTAAACAATCTTGGCAAATGAAAAGCCTGTTCGTGTCCAGCTGTTTTAATTTATTACCTTAAAACAAATAGTTGTAAAACTAAATTTATAATTTCATTACAATGTAGTAAAGACAAAGGGAAAACGAAATATAATATGCAGCAAATTAACATGCAGCAAAATATTCATGGTAATGAACAAAATCAAAAATATTCCCTTTCTCCTCAAAATTTGCTTACATTTTAAAAATCTGATAAACGTCTCTGGATTTCTTGAGCCCTTTTATTAACACTATACAAACATTTAAGAGAATAGAGGCTGCTTTATTTTTAATCCCACTATCTCTATGTATTCAACGAACTTTTACCAAACAAAAAATTGTGCGCAAGGAAACAGACATTAGTCAGAACAAGAAGGGAAAAAGCCTCAATTTTCCTCAGCTTGAACTACGGGTAATTCTAAAATAATCTAATTCGGCTTTGGTTTTTTAAAGGAAAAATCAACATATATTTATAAAACTTGGAGAGAGAGTATCTATCTTTGGGTAGTAAACCCTTTTGATTACAGACTTCCCAACATAAACAATATGTTGATTAATATTTTACAAAATCACACATTTCCAAAGTAAAAAAGAATATTAGAACTTGTGTTTTCAAGTGCTGCTTAGGGTAAATGCCAGCCTTAAACCAGACAACTTTCTTCAGTACCCAAATCATTAAAACTAACTGTAATGTTGTACTGCAAATATTCAAAGTGGAGAAATTGCCCATTTCTTCTCATGGTTATCTACCAGGAAAACTAAGGGAAACTCTCAATAAATCTTAACATTTAACAAACAACAAACGACTAATAGTAACAGCATTTCTATAGATCATCTATTCTTGAAAATTATGCCTCTTCAATGCTATTTTAATGTTTAGGATTACAGCTATGAATTAAACATTTAAAATCTGAAGAGAACAACCCATGTGACAGAATCCTCGCATTTCCCAAATATTTTCATCTTAAGCATTTGCAGAAGAGTTGACTACACGTAGCATACATTCTGAATTCGATAAGATTTAGAGAACCCGACATTTTATGTATCCAAAAGGTCCAAACAGAACCGATGTAAATATCAATAGCTCTCTCTCCCGGCTGATACTTAAATGGTTTTACTAGTACTCAAAAGAATGAAATCAGCAACTCTCTCCACACTCTAGTCAACACTCCAATTTCCAAAGCCGCAATTCGCAAACGTCAGTTGGACGGGGGCTGTGGGGGTCTTGGGGCAATCCAAAAATTTCCTTTCTCCTCTGACAGTCTACCAAAAGATGCCAAACCAAATCCAGCCTATTGTAAACCATTGGGAACTCCCTTCCAAGGACACGAGACAAAAGCATAGACACCGCTGCGAAAAGCTGCCCAAAAGCGCATGGCCCCACAGAAACTTAAGGGGCCCAGATCAGAATGCATAAGAACCCCCAAGAGAGTCCCGCAGACAGCGGAAATGAAGGTGGTATTTATTCAGCGGTAGACAGCTACGAACCAAAGAAAGTTACTCCAGCCGGTTTCTTGGGCTTCACTCTACCCAAGTTCAGGCTTTTGGC